CACACCCACACCCACCCACACCCACACCCACACCCACACCCACACCCTTTTCATAGTAAATGGTAAAAAAAAACAAATACATTACATAATGAATTTATTCATTAAGATTGTCCTTGGTCTGATCCTTCAGTAGATATTTTTGTACTATCGGTGGTGGTGCTGCTCGATTGACCTTTCTTCCAGTTTCTTCGTTTATTCAATATTGCTTCACGAATATTAAGCCATTCGACCTCAAGTTGCTTTTGGCTTAGCTTAAATTTGCATCTTACTGCAACTGGAATAGGTAAAGATTGAGAATACTTTTGTATTAAAAAATTTACATGATAATATCTCATGCTATGAGAAAAAGTTTGAATTCGATAATTTGAATAAGTAAAACAAACCTCGTATAAATACATAACCTGGATGTTCCATGAGTACTTGTTTTTTTTATTGGATCAAGCTCCAAAAGTTCTTCTCCAGAAAATATTTTATCCACTAATTTCAATGCAAATAGATTTTTTTTCGTTCTCTCTCCCCGAATAAGTAATGCATCGAAAAAAGTGTTGCCATCATCGATTGAATAAAGCTATAGAATTAGTAAATGAAGGGATACAACTAGTTAAAATAGTTTCATTTTACCAGTTCAGAAGAAAATGCCATCTCATTATTGTTTGATCGACATTCATCTATAGGTGATACTGTTTCTTCAATATCGACATATATCTGAAAATGATATAAAACACTTGCAAGAAAATACACTCAACTGCTAAAGCCTACTTTGTTCTTCAAAAGCGCTCTTTTTATTTTTTTTTGGTTCTCCAGTATCAATTTTTGAGTTTTTTTCATGACGCTCGTGATACAACAGGATTTGTTCGAACATTTTTCTCGCATATTGTCCATCAACTTCATTTTGATTTAGCTTATTGATGAGATTCGTCTCGATTAAACATTAAAGCAGAATAGTAATATTTTTGAAGTTGCTTCGAATTAACAATACACAGCAGCATAACTTATTACGAAAGTATCGTTTTTATGATGTTTTATGAACTTTTACTTCAACAATTTTCTCTTAAAATATTACTTTTCAAATTCTGAAACAAAATATCAAGGAAGAAATATTTGAAATTACAGTGAAAACCATATCAATCGTTTCCAAACATTCTCTTTATGAATATCGAACTTGGAAATCTGACTAATTGTCACTATCTTTGATGTTTTTTGTTTTTGAATGTAATGTTTAAGAAAACAAAGTCGATAGTTTTGTAGAGAAAGGACAAAATTTTCGATCGAATAAGTTTACAAATAGCAAATTTGAATTGCATATTCGATATTCAAAAACAAAGACAAATTATCTCATACTTTATAAATTACTTGTGAATCATAGGCTTTAGAATACTCTCAATTAGTGTTTACTGTTTCTTTCATCAATACAATACTTACATTTGATTCGAAGCTGATATAATACTAACACGTCGAATTTTATCGAGACTGATATTGAAGAGAGCAGCTAAATTAGCACGAATGTTACCAGTGTAAAACATGGCTGGATCCATTGGTGGTAGCCCAAAGTTGAGAATAAGCAGTGGTGACATTTTTAATTTCATCATTGTATTGCCATCAATAACGAAATAGGCTAATTGAAAGGTTCCATCTATCGGCAAATAAGAGATATAATTGATTTAATAACAAAAAATTTTGACATACACAAAATGTGTCGAGCCTGATTTGATTCAAAAAATATAACAAGTAATACAAGTACCAATTTATAATCTAACTCAAGGTTTAGAATGTATTTTGCCGTTTTGAAAAATCACATAAAACCTCCTGTTGACTTAAGGCCCCCCCCCTCCTCAAAAATTGACCTCAGCCTAGGAACACCCAAACAGGCTGATATTTGGAGGATATGTTGGGCCTATGATAGGATGCATGTGATAAAAGTTTCAGTCTTCTATCATGACGTATAATGGAGATACGGACCGAATAAGGGTCAAAAAATGGCTTATCGCATCTCCAAAAGTTCTCAGTGGCTCTTCAATATATATACTTGACTTTTTTTTTGTTTGAAAGAGCATGTCCGGATGCAGTGCTTATGAGGACCCTTTTTTTTTAATCTTGTTTTTTAAGGGGAAAAGGACCCTGACAAGTTCGGTTACTAAAAAAACTCTCAAAAAATGACGCTCTAATTAAGAAGGCGATTTTCAATATAATAAAACCAAAGCCTATTTCAAAAAAAGGGCTCTCATAGGCACTGGAGTTTTTGATGCTCTTTCAAACAAAAAAAAATATTCGGCTTTATATCGTATTGTAGTTGACTTTCGCTGGAGATACGTCATTCGACCGCCACTTTGAGAAAAAACGAAAAAGATTTTTGGGTTTTTCGAATAGGGGTCGTCAAAAATATTGAAAATTTTTCGGAAAAAGGAGGTATCGAAGAAAAGTTTTTATCGTTTATGAAAGAGCAAATGACAGGCTATCTCCCCATGTATATATCTCAATCTTAACCATTCTGACGAAAACTAACTTTTTTGAGGGGGGGGGGGGCCTTAAAAGATGGTCACGAATTCACACGTCCAACATATGGGGTAAAATATTCAACATTAGGAAAAAATATTATTTGTATTTGTTCAGATTTTTTCTAGATCGACATCATGTGGCATTCTTATATGCAAGAACCATTGAATTATGTTGCTGATTGTGTTCGAATTATTGGCTACGTCATCTATCATTCTCCATGGTCAATCAATAAGGATGATACAAAGAATAAAACATGTATTCAAGCGAATAAACTTTGGAAAGATGAATTTAAAGTTGATTTAATGATAGATCATCTATTTAATACAATTGATGACAAATTTGACAACAACTTTTAATATATTTTACATATAATACGTATTTATGCATTTTTTAATCAGCCACAAATAAAATTTTATTTCAATCAAATAAACTGGAGAAATTTTACTAAAGAAACGAATCGGACTTATTATGTGTATCAGATATACCATAGTCTCTGTCAATTATAGAAAGGAAAATCCCTGTTTACTCAATGTTGCACATATTTGTTGATCCATATACTTATTATTTAATCCAAACAAAACTATCTATAAAGTGATAAATTGGTCATGAACAATACTTCGAAAATATACATTAAAATTATTTATCCAAAGTGTATAAGAAAATGATCTTTTGTCGAAATACTTTGTTACAATGTGTAATCATAGTAGTTTCGTGTTTATTGAGAAATTGAAAAAGATTGTGTAGTGAAATACACTACTGGACATAAGTTCCGAGATGTATGACATTCCTCCTCACTGTCGATCATTTTCCATGAAGTTTCTATCAGAGAGGATGAGACAAGTTACCACAATACTAAAAGTATTTCAAATTTACTGATAAATTATTATCAAGTGGCAAGTATTAATACAAATGATCTCTTATATCTTGAGGGTGCGAGGGTGAGTTTCGAGGATTGTTCCAAACTACTTACGACGATCGTTTCGATCAGGGCTTAATCTGACCATCATCAGGTAGGTTCGGAATAGTATTAATCTACATTAGGATGTCATCTCAAATCAATTGAAGTTTATAAGAGCCAAAACTCTCAGCAGAATTCAAATGTCGAGATAAATCGAAAATGTCGTAGAAAATCTTGAGGGTGTATGTGGATGTGGGGTATGCGTGTGGGTGTGGATGTGAATGTGAATTCTAATCTTCTCTTGACCCACATCCACACACCCACATATCCATACCCACACCCACATCCTAGTTTGTTGCTGTACGGACTAATGTGTATGACTTTGATTCGACATGAGCGTATGATGGACCTCAACACGATGAAATTCGGATAATTTTCATATCAAATTCGATTGATCTTTAAAACTTAACATGTGTCTAAGAAGACAATAAGATGTACTTTTATTTAGTCGTAGTGCTTTCAGAAAATCTTCAATATTTCAAAAATAAAACAATCGTATCCTTCCTTTCGTACATTTTTAGATGTGAATGATTTAAAGGTTGTGTCACAGTTAATAACTTTTTTAAAATTTAATAATGCATTTTCCCAGCCCTTCTCAATCTAAAGAATGCTACATTTTGTTGACTGTCAATAGGAAATTTTTCAACTTCTAAGAAAAATAATATCAAATCAATTACTTAATGAACTCCACTTTATTCTTTGAACATGATTTGAATATGCTAATTATAATAAAAGCAACAGAAAATTTATTCAGAATGAGTGTCAGGACATTCGATTTAATACTTTCTTAACATTGTCAATGTCTTCTTGAATTTGAACGAGTGATGGATGGTCTAGTGGGTATGATAGTTTTAACATATCAAAAGCGATTGTATAGTTTTTCAAGGCTAACTGAAACTGATCTATTTGTTCATAGATCCAAGCAAGACGTAGATGTGTTTTTGCAGTTGATGGATGATTCGATGGTAAGGAGGTTAATTGTATTTTCAATGCTTCTTCATACATTGCTAAGGCTTGATCAAAATCATCTACATCATTGTATACGTCTCCAATATTACGAAATGTTCCAGCAATAGTCGGATGTGCTTCTGGCAAAAGTTGTTGTCGAACTCGAAGACATTCTTTCCATGATATTATTGCCAATTGATATTTTTCTTGTTTTTCATAAATTTGAGCAATAGCTTCGTAATTTATTGCAACTTTAAGATGATCTTGACCATACAGATCGAGAAGAATATCCAATGCTTTTGAATAATTTTCAAGTGCACTATCATATTGTTTAAGTTTGTTAAGAGTCGCACCGATAACTTGATAGTTAAATACAAGATCCTTTCGATCACCGTTATTCTCTGTTAATCTAACCACTCCTTTTTGAAATGTTTGAATAATTTCTGGATAATATTCGCCTTCAGTATATGATACCATAGGATTACCGAATCGACCGTTAGTTTCATTCCTCTTATGTTCATCACTAAGATCATAAGCACATTTTGCTGGTTCACGCTTACCCATATCATCTAAGATTTTCCCTACAGATACCATATCCGTTTCATCGGCTAAAGTCGCTTTCAAATTTGTAAAAACTTCATTCAGTTGATTATCTTGTTCACCACATAGAACTAATTTGATCGTCCAAATTGCATTATCTTCGGAAGCTTTTTGAACATCAACGATATGAAAGATAGATCCAGCCATAAATAAAATCTCGTCTTCATTGCCTCCATAATAACTACTATGCGTAACATCAGCAAATGGTCTCGTATCTGTACGATTCGTATCAGCTTCGATTTCAAAGAGAACTGCACGATATCGATCATTTTCAGGATCAATGGCCGATTCGGCGAAACACTGTGCTATCAATCGATCTCGACTTGTCGACAGGAGACTATTCATGGCAATGAATTTGTCTTGATTATTAATTAAATTATTTAATTCCTCAACATCAAGAACTTGACCACGATAAAGATGGATAATCGATTCGTTAAAGTTCTTCTGTTCGATCAAAGTATGAAAGAGATCACGAATAAAAAAACGAAGTGTAAAGAGAAGTACATAATCTTGTTGACGTAATGCTTTATTAAGAATAACATAAAGAAATGAACTACGTGTGTACCACCATACTGCTTGATTTGCTTCATAGGTTGATTCGAGTTCATCAATAATACGAAGTTTAGTAACATCACCATGATATTGTTGTCGAATAAATTCAATAAACTCTTTTCGAGATGGATGAAGAGCGGCATTCGACATACGAAGTAAAGTTTCAATAAATAATTGAAACCAAATGAAATCTCCATTTTCATTTTCCAAACTCTTCGTAGATCGATCATTTGGAGTAAAATAAGTACCGAAATTTCCAATCGAATCTTCCAGTTTCTGTCGTTTTTTCTGATCAATAGCAATTATCTCAACTAATTCCGACGAGTTGCTTAGTACGGCTTTAATCTGAAAAGAATTCTATATATTGTTTTGCGCAGATATAGTAATATAATACTACCTTAGGATATTCTTTTCTCCATTCATTTGCTTTATCATTGTTCCCACGGTAGATATAAATAGCCACAACGTGTGTTTGATTATGCACATGATGAAGAAGTTGACTATCGTATATATTCGACATAATGACGATAATCTAGAATATACATTTTCGAGATTGTTACTTTTTTATATATACAACTTACTTTCTCAGTTTTTCGTTCGTTGACATATGTTTGACATTCGTTCGGATCATTGAATAGTTTAATAAAATTAATTGAATATTGTAATTCATGTTGAATTCGTCGATTCTCTTCAATATTATTTACATACGCATCATACCATACAAGACTAAATGGTTCAAGATTTCTTCCACTTCTTTCTCTTAAGCATTCAGATAAACGTGAACGATATGATTCGGAATCTTTCTTAGTTGATGTTAACAATGTGCCAATCATCACATTCTTATCGACCATTTTAATCTGAAAAACAAAAATCCAATTTATCTGAGCGAGTCAAATAGTATCGTCACAAAAAGAATTTCTAATGTATTGAACTTGTGAACCAATAAAATTGTTTATTCTTTTCTTCTTAGAAGAACACCTACCATGAGACAAATGTCAATAGCTATTTTTACGTCTTTATATTATTTGCTCTCATAATGCTATTGTTGTATTTATATGTGGAAGGATGGAGAAGATTCGATTGTACACGTGTCCCATGTATAAGAATTCAATTTTACTTTTCTTTCACCTTCTCATTTGCACTAAAAAGTCTTCTCGCACAAGGTCGAATCGAAACTTCATCTTTTTTATGTCTTATGTTTATTTCCGAAAAAGCAAGATCAAAGCTTAATAATAGTATTAATGAATTTATGCAGTACGTTGAAATGGATCTTTGAGTAATTTCAGAAGTAGTTTCCTGTAAACATCGCTGGTCTTCGAGCTTACATCACGTTCTAAGTCTTGATTGTATCAACGATAGAATGCTTCTTTAATTTGAATGAGATCAATTTCTGATCGAGTGACTATGATTCTAGTAAGCGTTGACTCATTCGTACCAAGTCCCTATAGAAAATAGATGAATCTTCCAATGATATATAGGATAACAGATATACCTCCATAGATTTGGGTAGTAATTCAGCAAAGAAATATGATCGACTACGTACACAACAAATAATAGCCAATATACCCTTTTGTAAATTACCACTTGTCTCGTTTTTGACTGATTCCTCTGCACGAAAGAAAAAAGACAGCCGATAACCATTCGATATTTAAATAGACAACTAACCTATAGACATGTCAGTTATTTTAGCATATTCAGGGTGGGTGTGTGGGTGTATTAAAGGCCTACGCACATCCAGATCCACACACCGATACATCGATGCACCCACATCCTTCTTTGAATCTCTTTTTAAATGTGGCACTTAAAGACCTGCTAATATCTAAATTGTAAACAAGAAATTTGATAAAAATATAATAACTAACGATGCAGTGGGAAAAAAAATAAAAACTCTTCAAACTCATCTCGACAGAAACGAAGAAATCTCAGGTTCGCAAAGAACTATTTGAAGAAATGTAAACTAGACACTTTGAATATTTTCTTCCCTCAATGTTACAAAGATTTCTCTCAAAAGAATCAACGATCGAGATTATATCGAAACACACACTTACCTTGTTTTGAATATGCCTCTGTGCTTCTTTTCGAAACTGTGCCCTTCTCACAGCTTTATATACATCTAATGTCCATTACGATCTGCGCAGTTTCTTTTTTCTTTTCATTTTTATGTTTCAATCAGCGCTTCTAAGTTGTTGGCAAGTATACGAAAGTCGTCATAGCGAGAGACAGAGAGAACGAAGAAAGAAGCCTTGCATTCTCTTTGCATGTATTATACAATTCATCTATTGGCGCTCGTTTCAATCCAGGCTAACAACAAAAAAAACTGTTACGAAATAATGTTCAAGGACATTAAAGAGAAACAAATCAATATAACTTTCAATATACATTGAATTTGAGTGATAAGGTAATGTTAAGTACTAGTACACATGTATACTTGATCTTCCTCTTTCTCTCTCTTTGTTAGCATCATATCTATGCGTTTTCATCGTTGTTATTGTTCACTCTGTGGACGTGCTCGGTCTCCTTCTTTCTGGTGTGCCTATGCATGTGTGTGTTGGTCGGGATGTCGGTTACATCTTCACCACACTGAAAAACAACAGATACTCTACGAAACCTTCTTCAGGATTTACGAAAGCTTCAAGGATTTCATGAGACTTTACAGAACTTCGAAAGTTCCGTACGGCATTCCAAAAAGGTTTCGATTTCGTTACAAAAATCGGAACCCTTTTAAGTTTCATAGAGTACCTTTTTTTTTAGTGCAGCACTCTCACCCACACCTTTAAAATGACATTTTCGTGATTGCTTGGTATCGCTTATTTTGTCATTTTTTTTTACATAACACTCTTTTCAAACAGTGATGCTGAATGCTGTAACCTATTTTTAGAAATTTATGAGCCCAAAGGAAGTGAAGGTATGCATATATGTCTTCTTTTCATCTACACCCACATCACACCCTTCATTATTTTTTCTCAGTTTTAAAAGAGTGTCGAAAGATTGCTTGTGGAATTGAAATGTAAAACAAAATGTAACTGATATCGCTAATCAAAGAAGAATGATATTGTACCTTTTCGGTTAAAAAATTCATCTTATTTATCACACTTTAGAACGTTAATAGTTAAGACTGTATGCAACTTAGTCGACGTTTTCAATTTTGTGTAACAATATACCAAAACATGAACTCACGTTACAGTTAAATCATACCAATAATTTTTTCTAGTATATGTAGCTACAATTTCCATAAGTTACAATTAAGAGAAGCGTAACAAAAACTACGAAGAGTCAATTTCGTAATTCTGTTAATTTATTTTTTAAGAGATTAATGCTATCATGAATGTAATTGAACCGTAAAAATTCTACGAATTTACTGTTCTCATAATTAGTTGAAGAGATGTTTTGCTTAGAGTATTGGGTGTGGGTGAGGTGTACACCCACACTCTCACTCTGAGACTAACTATTCTCATGTTAACTTCTTATAAAACCATGAATATTCGTACTTTAATATAATAGAAAGACATTGAAATATGATAGTTGATCCTTTGATTTTCTGTTTGTGTTTATTATTTTTTTAGCATGAAGAATGATTAATTCGGAAGAATAATCTGTTTCAATAAAAGAAATCTAAACTCTGATATATTCTGTTATCAGATGTGATACTTTTCTGCGTCAAACGTTCGAAATGGTACCGCTGTTGTAATCTGGACGTACTAATATTAATAACGCTGTTTTAACATAGAAAAGAGTTATCAGCCTAATAAATATATTATTCTTCGTTTGCTTTCCGATAATCTTTTAAGAAATAATTCTAATAGGCGAAATATTTTCTTTGTTCAATTTGAATTTAACATAATTTTCTTCAGACTTAAATCGTGTGTAAGATCGTAATTTAAGAAATCATTTCTAATATGCGTCGAACTTTGAAAACAACACTTTTGAGTGTGCATCAAAACAAGATTGATTCTGAACAACAGTATCATCAGTTTTACGAAGATACTGCAAGTTTAGACCGGAAAATTCGGTATGTATTAAAATAAAATATTTTCAATGTAAAATAGGCCTTAGTAGCACACAAATTTGCACCAATCGGTCGATATTTACAGAAAATGTTGGAGATCTCAGATGAACGATTGAATATTTATTAGTGTTTTTAATGTTTCATCGATAAAAAAAACTAACCTGAAAAACAAAGTCGACGAATTTGCAAAACGAAGAATGATCTTTATCTATAACTTATGAAGAAATGATTTCAAGTATCGGACACTTATCAAAATCATACTTGGTTCATAAATAGGACTCACTGGTACTAGTCAAAGCCTAAAAGGATTCATGGCCATGCCACTTTATCAATTGAATAAAATTTTTAATTAAATTGAAATGAAGTAAAATATCAATCTTAAAATCGATAAAATTTATCAGATGATTATCTCTTTTAAATTGTCAATATGAAAATTAATTTAAATGTAAATATTTATAAAAAATAAAAACGTTGCTCTTTTAATAATATATAAGTTGATTTTCAGATACTCTATGTACTTTTATTCTTAATAATCGACATTTATTTATAAAATCTTCATATGTATTAATTAATAGTTAAAGTAGGATGTGGGCGTCGGTGTTCATCTTTACTTCGCCCACATCCAAACCACTCACATACGTACACCCACATCTACACCCTGTTTTGAATTTGTTTAAGGAGCTACTTGGTTCTTAAGCTGTACGACGCTGAAGCTTTGTGCCGAACAGCTCTTTCAGTTTGTTGACGTCGGGTCCATATTGATTGAGAGCAAGCTCGAGTAAGATCTTAGCCTTTTGAGGATTGTAGTGGCCTGCTGCAATGGCTTTGCCGCTGTTCGCCGTGTAGCTGAGACCCGTGCGCGTCGAGAGCACAACAGGAATGCCTTCGCTGTAGGTAAGAGATTGGATACGGTTTAGCCACTTCTCGTCAACACTACCATCTCCTTCACTTGCAATGACGATGCCCTTAGCACCTTGGTGGACAGCAGCATCGAGCAGAGTCACATCCATGTCCTGGTATGCATACAGAACAGTGACCTTTGGTAGGTGAGTGAGACCGAGGACGTTGAAGTAAGGCTTGTTGATGACCCGTGAAGGTTCATAGTAAAAGATGGGTATCTCGCTCAAGAACATACCAAGATACCCTTGCTCGACAGCCTTGAACGCATCGAGGGAGCGTGTATTAGTCTTTGTCGTGTAGAATGCTGAGCCAATGCGATCGTTCATGACAATCATCACGCCGCGATTGCGAGCCGAATCGGAGGCGGCGAGAGAAACAGCTTGAAACAAACTGCAGGGACCATCAGCACTGAGTGCCGTAGCTGGACGCATTGCACCAACGATTACGATAGGCTCTGTCCTGTTGTGAGTTAGATCGAGAAAGAGAGCGGTCTCCTCCAAAGTGTCAGTACCGTGAGTGACGACAACACCGTCAGCAGATGCGTTTGCGAACACTGCGCTTATCTCTTGGCTCAATTTGAGTGCTAGACTTGTATTGAAATTCGCGCTGACGATGTTGGAGAACTGCACTCCTATCACTGTGCTGATGTTTTGAATTTGGGGAACAGTGTTCAGCAAGGTCTCAATATCCAAAACGCCAGCCGTGTAGTCGGTCTGTGCGGTAGAAGAAGATGCACTACCAGCAATGGTACCTCCAGTAGCAAAAATCGTTACCGCTGGGAAGGTACGATCTGTGCCGAAGTGATTTTTGCTCAGTACCGCTTGCGCTAGAGGACTTGTTAATAAGGTGACAAAAACTATTGAAAAAAGCATGTTGCCGGATTCGTGATAGAGTCGATTTGTTGTATAGAAGTAAATAGTATGGGATCACAGAAGAGTAGCTGCT